GTGGATGATGATCCAGTTTCGATAGAGATCAAAAGTGTCTACGCGGCCTTGTGAATGATGATCCAGTCTCGATAGACGCCAAAATTGTCTACACGCCCTGGTGGATGATGATCAGCACTCCATTGAGTCCAAAAGTGTCTACACACCCTTATGGATGATGATCGTCTCGGTAGAGTCCAAAAGTGTTTTCTGGATGATGAATTTCCACATTACAACTCCTTTCCACTGACGAATTGTTGCAAACCTTTCGTTATTCTATCGCTATTTTCATGGAAAGTGTTCAAACGAAGTCCATTCCTTAGTCGCACCAGTTCTGACCTTCACAGCTTAGACCTGTCATACAACGCTCATTGTAACGAACCACCCTCATCTCCTTTGCATTCCATTGGTAATGTGTACATTTCAATCGACCTTCGCACGAACTGCTACTTTGCGGAACTTACTCCCGAGAGGATGCTTCCTCCATCACTTCTTTAAGACTAGAGATAGCCTTTATCTTCCCACCACCACCACATATCCCAATAAACTTATCTCATTCTCCTTTGTCGGCCTCCGTCGGTTAGCGTTGATTAGTTGTCTGCCTGGCTGGAACATCGTTATCTGTGACTCCGATGCGGGAGTGACAATCTCTGTTGCTGAGGTTGCATGTGTTTTCTGTCTCTGGTCTGTTGGAGCTGTCACTTTGCTTTCTACGGGACCGTCTTTCCGTAGCGACTTGTGTCGCCTTCTCCTCCCCTGACTTGAGGTGTTTGGTCAGGGTTTATCTCCATTCGGATCATATGGCTACCATGCTCTCCCAGGATTCTGTGTTGATGTCCACAGCTTTCATGTCGCGCCTCACGACACCGCGGTACCGCAGCTTTGACCGCCCGGCGGGTCTCTTTCCAGAGGCCAGCTCTCCACACAGGAGGTTTTTTGGGGATGCGGCCGTGGCCTAACCAACAGAGTCCGCGCTGTCTGGGCAGTGTGGACATGCTGGCCACACCTGCTCGAGACAGTACCTTTCTCCTTACACTGTGAATATGTATAAAAAAGAAGTACTTTAAAATCCTACAATAGCAAACGGCTTTAATACAGCTATAGATATAACAGATGAGCAAACCCACAGGTGCACAGATACTCTCCGACTGAACATTAGGAGGTGATAATCTAGGGTAATTAATTTGGATTATGATACTCACCTATCCTCCGAGATCCCAAGACATTTTCTCCACAGACAGTTTTGTCCTTCTTTCATTTTAAACTGAGAAACACAAAGAGATCATAAGCTTCTCGGGCGAAATGCATCTTTAATAAAATCTTCTACTTTGTCTCATGGCCTTCACTTTTTGTTTCGGGTAATATTATGTACCCTACAAACACAGATCTCTGACTATGGAACCCTCCACCCCGTGTGACACTTGCGCGTTGTAAATATCAAACCGCAAAACAAGATTCCCATAATTTGTCACCCACAACGACTTCGATTTAACGCTACTAATCCCACTCTGGTCTAGATGTCATTCAAATGCCAACATTTCTTTCTTTTTATGTGCCGTGTCCTTTCAGGACGTAGGCGATCATGGCTCGCCACTTCCCCCTATCCTTTCTGTCTCTCTGCCACCTCCCCCAGACCACGTTCTGTCATCCACTTGCTTAAGCCCGCCAAGTATGTCATACGTTGCTTTCCCTTGTCTCCCTTTTCCTCTATTCAACCTGTGAGTATCAGATTCTCCAGGCCCTCCTTTCTCATTACGTGTCCCAGAAACTTCAGGTGCTTCTTCCTGATGTTAACTATAAGCCTCCTCCTTGTTTGCATCCTCTCCAAGACCTCATCGTTGCTCACATGCTCGGTCCATGATATCCTCAGCATCCTTCTGTAGAACCACATCTCCGTTGCTTCAAGTCTCTTTGTTATCTTTGAGGAGAACGTCGAACATTCGCTGCTGTAAAGGTGGACAGATATCATGTAACAGCTCAGTACTCTTTTTTTATTACCAAAGAGTTCCTGCTGTCTCGCAATACTCTGCCCAGCTTTTGGAATGCGTCCTTGGCCATCCCAATGCGTCTACGGATCTCAGCGTCGCGCTTGCCGTCCTCTGTCAGAACACTTCCCATGATTTTACCTGCGGGAATTTAGTATACCCGGCCTGCAAATCGCATTTCAGGTCCATCCTTTTACTGATGACCATGAATTCTGTATTCTTGTAGTTTATGCTTCGTCCCTTCTTCTTACTCTCCTTCGCTATTCTTCTGTAAGAGGATTTGAAACTTTTTTTCCGTCTCTGCAATCAGTACTGTGTCATCTGCGTATCATGTGTTGTTAAGATTGCGATCGTCGATGCTGAATCCAGATAGGGTTTCCAATTAGACATCGTAAGGCAGGACTTTTTCAAAACAGAAAGTATTATCTCGAATTGGAATGAAAGCAAATAAGACATATACTCAGAATCTATCATAAAAATTCAGAATGTGAAATTAATAAATACTAAACACTTCAAAAAATTTCAATACCCAGGTGTATGGATCGATGATAACAAATTTAATAAAGGAGATAAGGAAACTAAACATAGAATAGGCTTTGCTATGAGTAGTTTTATCCAACACTAGCAGTATTGCCCGGCGTTGCCCGGAGATGTAACAGTAAGAGATAGATCAAGTATCGACCATCATAAAGACTGAAAAATTAAATTGACAAAGATTATTGTTTACGGTTGACGGACACGCATGTCTTAATTAGTTGTTTTTTTTTTTTGTTTTTTTTTGGTTTTTTGTTTTGTTTTTTTTTACGAATTGGTCAAACCCTAACTCAAACAAAAACATTGTTTTCAATCGTTATGAGTCTACCGATTGAATAGAATTTTATTATAAACAATTGTCTTGTAATTGGAATTTTTAAAGCATTCTGAATGTAAAAATAAAGAAAAAAGTGTGCAAGACAATAAGAAACATTACCTGCTAAAAAAAAAGTGAAGTTTTGTTGAGATCAGTTGAAAAATGTAGGAAATCCGATCCAATATATAAACGAACAGACACACACAGACAACCTGGGCTTTATAATAAGTATGATTACAAAATGCTACAAAAGCAAAGAAATTAATGTAAGAACACAAGTAATGTTTTAAATAACCTCGTTAAAATTCAGAATGTGGAATTAATAAATACTAAACACTTCAAATACCTCGGTATATGAATCAGTTAGAACAAATTTTATTATAGGAGAAAAGGAAATTAAACATGAAAAAACGTTGTACTAGCGATATTTTTGTCCAACGCTAATTATTAAAAACACCAAAACATTGACCTAAGAACTCGAGTCATGTTCTTAAAAAAACCCCGTCAAATTGAGACTTTCATATGGCTATCATGAATGGCACCAAAAGCCGTTAAGAAATATCTAAACTCTCAGCTGTATACAACGGCTTTCTGAAATCAATGATTAAAAATGGCTTCGAGCGGATGAAGGTGATAGCGAGACAGTATTTCTCCGAACATCGTGGACTGGCACACGACAGAATCAAAAAGAAACAATACCAAATAACAGAAACCACATCACTTGAAAACTTTCAAAAGCAGCAACCGCTAAAATGGATATCACTTGGAACTGAAAATGAAAATAATGGCGTAATCAAGATGTCGGTATTCCACACTACTTCAAATAAAGCGATAAAAAGGAATCCCCAATCAGTAGTGGAAAGAGCAATAAGAGTTACTGAACTTGAGAATCCTTTTTGCCTGAAAATTTAATAGAATGATTTTATAAATTTCAACCAACCGGCTGCTCGGTCAATGAATGCCGAATGTTTCCTTATAAGGAAACGGCTAATATTACCATTACAATTAGAGATGAGGAGAACAGATACTACACTTTGATCCCAACCCGAAGGCCAGAGAGAAAAGAAAAGCGTAAAGAGATGCACTGGCTGCTAAGTCAATAAATGCCGAATATTTCCTTATAAGAAAACGGATAATATTACCATTGCAATTAGAGATCAAGGGAAACAGATTCTACACTTTGATCCCAACCCGATGGCCAGAGAAAGAAAAAAAGCGTAACGAGATGCACTGGCTGCTCAGTCAATGAATGCCGAATGTTTCCTTATAAGGAAACGGTTAATATTACGATTAACATTACCAGCCATCAGGAGTCGTAAGAGTTAATTTAATCATCAGTAATGAGACTAGTACTTTCCCCCACCCCATTAGACATAATTATCTTTTCAAGGATTTGCAGATTCAGGAGTAAATAGATTCGCCTGTAGCAAGATTAATATTCCTCCGCGGTCTTCTGAACAGGGCCAGAGTTTTATCTTTTGTTTCTTGTTTAGGATTGTGTTTCCGGTTCCTTCTAAAGTTTTTTTCATTCTCTTTCACTCCCAGTAGACACCCCCCTTACGTGTAAGAGGGCATTAGCACCTTCCTTGGGGGTAAATTGATTAAAACATGTCTAGTGGTTATTGTTGGGAATTGAATAATAGCCTCCTCAAATCTTCAGTCGTTTCTTCCTATTCAAGCGTTTTCCAATGTTCTTAGGGGAGACATGCATCAATGAAGCCACTCCGTTCGACTTAAGGAGGCATACATTTGGTAAATGTCTTTTATGCATAGATTTCGCAAGTTTCAATCAAGCATAAGATGTACGTAATGAAATTCATTCCAGAGTTTCGTTCGACAACGCTTGAATTAATTCAATTCAACTAACAATTTTAGGCGATAACTCGTTGACCTGCATTGAAAGAATGGTATAACATATTAAAAATGTTCATTTATGCCAAATCCCTTTAATTTTCGTTTTTGTTTTTTTTGTTGTTTTTTTTTTTTTTTTTTTTTAGGGCGGGGTATGCTTTCTTATTTTATTTTATTTTTATTTTATTTATTTATCTTGATTTATTTGTTTGTTTTTATTCATGTATTTGCTCAGGGTTTCTTTTTTTAAATCGCGGAAACCATTTTAACAGGAATGAAAACAGAGACGAACAGGAGTATGAGGATTGTTTATCATTCCTGCGCCATGTTAAAGTCTATCTCGAAAGGTTTCGTCGTTTCTCATAAAAAGAGAACGAAGGTGAAAAACTGAGAAGAAAGAAGAAAACTAAAAAGAATTGTTTGAAGATAAAAGGGGAGGGGAAAGAGAAAATAAATGAAATATTATAGGAAAAATGAGGAAATAAGAAAGACGAATGGAAGAAAAATGAATAAAAAGAGAAAGAAAAGAGAGAAAGAAAAGAAAGATCTGTATATCTCTGAGACTAGGTATTATGTTTATTTACATTATTCGCACTGTTATCCTCATCTTCATTGCTATATTCACAACGTTTCGGCCGTTGTACGCTCCGGACTTCTTCACGTGATTGGAATTTCAAACTGAACACTTTATAACTGTCTACATCTCTGAGATGAAGTACTATGATTACTTGTACTATTTGCACTTATATTATTTATGTGTAAAGGCGTTGGTTAGATCCAGTGACTATCTTAGTGGTGAACTAAAAAAAAAAAAACTGAGAGAGTTGAGTTAAAGTGAAATAACTGAGATTATTGTGCATGAAGAGGCATGGTATTTGGAACTAGAACAGTCTACCTGGTGGAACGTTGTGAATATGGCAATATTAAGAAAATAAAATATAGTGATAAACAGGTTATTATTTTCTGAACTAATGACAGTTTCTTTGTGAAAATCTTTTTAAATTTTTAGATAGATAGATAGATGCTAAAGTACACAGATAGATACATACATAATAGCTGGCCACTCGTATTCGAGGACACCCGTCTCAGGAACATTTGTGTTTTCTCAACACGCACAGAGCCCACCTGTGGTTTATACTTAGTTACAGTATCTGGGAGAGAGCGTATTATTTAGCGTGATCAACAATTTGAACAAGGCCTTCACGCTCAAGCCCTCAGCTACGATGGCTCGGTACTAGCACAGTTATCGACGGCCCACGAGAATTCCTTCTACCCAATTTCACTCATAAGGCTTGGGTCAACCCGTGGTATGGTTTCCAAAAAGTGGGAACGACCGATATCATCAAGACAAATCCTTCCGAACAAATCAACCCCGGTGTAATTCGAACCCGGTTCTCATGATAAGAAAGCGAACGTTCTAACCACTCGGCTACACGAATGAATAGATAGATAGATAGATAGATAGATAGATAGATAGATAGATAGATAGATAGATAGATAGATAGATAGATAGATAGATAGATAGATAGATAGATAGATAGTGACGTCTAGTCAGACGATTGCCACTCCATAATTGATTGACTCTCCGTGAGAAGGATTTCTGGGAACAGACAGATGTCATTGTTTGAAGGAGTATCTCTACATAGATGATTAATATAGAGATATAGCTTTGGACGACTGCTAAGTCCCTCTCTTGGTTCAAAGAGTTGAGATCCAGCAACAAGCAGAGGCAAGATAGCTGGCAACATATCAAACTGCAGGATGGGGGAAATGGTCGTCCGCTGGATTTTTTTTTTTTTTTTGGTCTTTTTTTTCATATCATAGACTTCCTTCTCGCAGATGGGTTGCCTTCACCACGGCTTGCCGAAGCCCCTTCTACCCACTTATGTCATTTACCCATTACTGGGTAAATCATGATGATGCGTGTAACATGAAGCAATCTGCTGCCTCTGAGTGTTGATTTCAATGTTCTTTTACATTTATATATATATATATATATATATATATATATATATATATATATATATATATATGTGTGTGTGTGTGTGTGCGTGTCTGTGTGTGTGTGTCTGTGTGTGTATGAGCATGCGCATATTGCATTAAATAAAAACGGAAATTCTTTCTTTAAGATTTTTGTAACTTAAATTTTAAATACCTCAAAACAATTTCCAGCTTTCCGTAGAGAATTGAAAATAAATTAGCCAATGTCTTCAAAGTACTTTCGGTTTCATAAGTTACTATCAAAGAGAATTGTGTGTGCGAGTTCCTGTGTGCGTATACATCTTTGTATATGTGTGTGCGTATGTGCGTGTGTGTGTGTGTGCGTGCGTGTTGATAGGATCGTGAACATGCGTATAGACTGAGTTCCGTGTTGTTTTTTTAAGTGTCTCATCTCATATGTCAAGTCCGCTTGTTTTTAATTAGTTGTGAAATATATTCCTTATGTTTGTTTCCCAATTTAATGACATTTTATTGATTTTGTTTGTTTTCTTTTCTCATTATGTTTTTTTTAATGTTCCCCGTTGTTAGTACGAGATCCGTGCAAACGATCGTGCCCGATTAGAAAATCAAACCAATGAAAATCGACCACGTAATTTTGCAATTATCCAATACCATCAGATGATCAGGACTCCCAGAAACCCATTAGAGTCACGCCACTCATGCAATTGTAGCAGCAGTATTTGTAATACTTATAAGGAAACACTAAGTGTTCATTGACCGATCAGCTCGTACTAATGGAGTTACTCTTCTTCTTTCTTCCCAGTCAATGGGGCTGAGATTAAAGTATAGAATGTCCGCATTTACGGTAGCGAATGTTGGACGTCTCCTCAAAGA